GGAACAAGATTTAACACTAGACATGAATACATCCATAAATCCATAGTACGTTATTTAGAATGGAAAAAATGGTAACTGGCTGTTTCAATGAAAAATAATTTACTCAGAGGTCTCCATTTTGTAAAAACCTTGGAAAGCACTAAGGCTTTAGTTAAATTGCAGAAAAAATGAAATATGGAACTTTAACATGAAGTGTGTCAATGTAACTACACTGAGTTTTTCCAAAAGTAAAAGCTTAAGCATTTTTAAATATACTGTACATGGAATGAACTGTAAATCAGGATCATGACTGAGGTATGAAAATATTTTTTTCTGCAAAGAGATTAAAAACCCTTGTGAAGAAGCACAGTATTTTTACTGAAAATATATATCTGTTTAGAAAAACCCAGTTAACAAAACAAACGTCTACAGAGATTATACAGTAAATATGTTTTATGGATTAGGATTTTACACAGTTTCTTGAATGTGACTTTTTAACCAACTCCAGAATGTTTTTTTAAATATATACTGTAATATAGTTGCCGAGTCTCAAAATGATCTTTTTCAAAAACATAACAAAGACAACCACTTCAGATCACAGATTTTAGAGTTCATTTTTGGGTGAATGTCTTTTTTCCTTTTTACTTAGCCTACTGCAAACTCCAGAGCTTCCAAAGCAGAGGTAATCCCTTAAGGATCCTGGGTTTCTTCTGTATTCTTGGTAAATTTCTGTTTCATCATATTCCCCCAAGTAGTTCTGACACATTTTAAATAACCTGAAAAAATGTGCAAAAGATAATTCAGATAAAATTAGAAAGTGCTTTTGTTAGCTGTTTTTTCAATTGCCCTGAATCCAATAAAAAAGGGTTGTGTCCCCTCACAAAGTGCTTACATTTTGTCCTTAATTGTTCTTAATATCCATTTAGGACTTGTAAACAGTCACATTCTAACAATCATTTTAATTAATCAATCAGTTTAATTGGTTAATGAATTCTGATTAGCATTACACATACAAACATGTTTGGACAAGAGCTTGTGACAAACTTAATTTGACACATGAAGAGATCTTGATGACATCCTTTGAGCCATTTCATTTTGTCAGGGCTTTATGAAAGCATTGCAGACTTCATGTAGAATTTTCATATTATTTCAGTGGCAGGAAGTGAATGATGGTAAGAATAGCACAGCCGTAGGTGTTTGCCTTTCAAATGATTCTGTTAAATCCAGGAGTTATGAGTATGCAATGATAGCGCCACTGATTGAGCAAATAGCGAAGGCCAATCACCCATAATTCTGACTTTTCTTGGCAGACTGCAGTACTTACTGTACAAAACTAAATTTCTCATCATTAAAAAACACTTTCACTTCATCACAGGCACCTGTGTGGAATCTCCCTGTAGAGATGTTGAAAGATTGCGAAAAAAAATACTGCAAGGAAAATACAGAACTACTATATAACATTGTATAAGATAAAGTTAATATAATTTACATATAGAACATTCAGTTGCTTTAGCCAGCATCTACTGTAGCAAATGAGAATGTCTGAACTAACTGAGATGATATTTTTCATACCTTCCTGGCCATGGCCCCCCAAACATAACCATGCCCATCTCACTTTCAGTTTCCAGTCCAGGCCCTGAAAGATGTTTGACTCCATACACTTCTTTCAATCCATACCTGATCATGAAAAGGCATTGAAAGTATACAATATAATCACCACTGCTTTCTTACCAAATTAACGATTGGTAGTCTAGTGCAGGTGGCCCCATTCTTTCAACTTCAGCTATCTACTGTAGTTATTAAAGTTGATACCCTGGAGTCTTTCAGGAAACAGCTGAATTTGATCCTCATATCAATAAAGTAGTAACAACTGAATGGGACCGATGGGCTTAATGGCTTCCTTTTGTTTATAACCTTTCTTACATACATACATTTTAAAAAATATTTTCTTTTAACTTTCATGTTTATGGAACACAAATGCAAATAATTGCAAAAAGTCGAATGCATCTGAACACAAAAAACTAGATTTAAACTGAACTAAAATCTATCCACAGTCCAAGGAACCATATTACATAATGTGACTGTGGTGCAAATGAAATGCAAGTGAATAACTTGACAACCAAAACCAGAATACAGTATATAATGCTTCTTAAGATACTTATGAGTCACAATTGGTATGCATAAGTATGACAAAGCAGTAAAGCAAACTATAAATAAATAATACCTAATCTCCCACTTAATTTTAAGAATATTTGTGGATTTTCAAATTAATAATAAAAATACAGATTTTCTTTATTAAAAAAAGATGTCAAAAACAAGAATGGTATAAACTTACTGTTCCCATTTCTGAAAGCAGCTTTGTTCCAGTGCGTCCATGTACTCAGATTCCAGCAAATCTGCATTCTTGCCTTGCTGTGCTTTCGCCAGATATTCCGTCATCTTTCGTACAAAAATAACATGCAAAATGTGTTAAAAGTAATGAATCCCAGCCAATTTTTCCTCACCCTAAATAATACAAAGGTTTTTTTTTAATAACTCCTCAGAGAACACAATATTAGACTTTTCATGTCACCAGGGGCACAGATAACGGAATTATAAAAGTAAGCAGAGTATATTGATTTTTATGAAAGGTGTTTTGGCATTTTCCAGAGGATATTACATAGGAAACAGCAGGAGAATTAAAGGATTTGCTTAAAAATCACAGTAAGTTCCGAACATGTTATACTGTACTGTATATATTTTTAATTCACCCTTTACTTATGCCCTATATTTAAGTTAAAACACTAACATTCTTTATCAGTTACTCCTGAAGAAGGGCTAATATTCCCCACAACGCTTTAATAAGATGAACAACAGTATTAACTGATAAAGCACTTGCTTATAAAGTGCAAGAAAGTTCTACATGTAAAATTACTTACAGTACCATTTTATAACCTATGGACAAACGTTCCTACAAACTGATAATTTTACACATCATTAAAATTGAATTTATTCCACTGAAGATCATCATAAAACACCTACAGGTCATAAGAAGTTACAGTACAGTGCCTATCAAAAGTATTCACCCTTCTTGGACCTTTTCACATTTACAGTAACTGTTACACTATAAAATGTGTTTATTTGGGATATTTTGTCATTGATCAACACAAAATACTCTATAATGTCACATTGAAAACAAAATTTTACAAATCCTCCTATATTAATTATAAATAGAAAACAGAAAATAAGTGATTGCATAAGTATTACCCCCTTTTACCATGACACACCTACAGCAAATAGGCTCTAGTGCAACCAAATGACATTTAGAAGTGATCATATTTGTTGAATGGAGTCCACCTGTGTTTATCTAGGATAAACTGTACACATCTCTGATTAGTTCAGCTCCCAAAAAAAGCTACTGTACATCATGAAGACAAAGGAACTTTCAAAGTGAATCTGCGATGTGCTTATTAAAAAGTGCAATTCAGGTGAAAGGAATAAGAAACTTTCCAAACCATTACATATCCCCAAAAGCACAGTAAAGTCCATTATAAGGAAACTACAGAAAATACGGTACACCCTGCCCTCAAACACGTAGAATCGAGGCAGGAGAGCACTAGTCAGGGAAGCCACCAAGAAGTCTGTGACAACTCTAAAGGAATTATAGTCTTCCATGGCTGAAATGAGTGAAACTGTGCAAATAACAACTGCCTGGGTGCTTCACAAATTTGGGCTTCATGGGAGAGTGAGAAAAAACTCACATCAAATCTCAACTATACTTTGCCAGAAGGCATGTCGGAGAGTCCGAGATTCATTTTTGCCTCAATGATAAGCATTATGTTTTTTACATACAGTACATAATCCTGAGAACACCATCCCTACTGTGAAGCATGGTGGTGGCAGTATCGTGTTATGAGAATGCTTTGCTGCATCAGGGACTTGAAGACTTGTGAAGATAGAAGGAAATATGCTGTAGATGTAGCAAAGTAAAGAGAAATCCTGGAGGAAAACCTGCTGCAGTCTGCAAGAAAAATGTCAATGTTCTGGAGTGGAGTGGTCCTGTCAATTCTAAAGTTAATGCAATCAAATACAGTATGTTGCAGGAGTTGAAAATTGCTGTTCAACATTTCTCATTCAACCTGGGTAAGACTGAGAAATTGTACAAATAAGAATGGGCAAAAAATGTGTCCAAAAAAATGTGTCCAAATATGCAAAGCTGTACAAACTTATCCAGGAAGACTCTGACTTTGGCACACTCTGCCAAATTTGTCTACCAAACATTGATTTAAAGGGGATGAATACTTACTGTATGCACTCATTTATTTTCAATTTTATATTTATAATTTAGGAAATAATATCATTTATAAATTATAATTTAATCTTGTTTTCATTTTCATTTTGATATTTTTATACAGTGGTTTCTGTCAATCAATGGCAAAACCCACCAGTTAAATACATTATGCAATCTGATCTGTTGTGTTTTTAAAGCATAAAAACAACTTAAGAATTGAATTAAAATGTTACATGTCAGCATATTCCCAGATGCAATATGTCTGCAAAAATGTCCTTCAAATGGAGGAATTTAGTGAATCAAGAAGCAAAATTATGGAAGGATGCTCAATCGCATAGAAAGCATCTTGCGTTTGTAAAGAGGCTTGTTTTAAAAACATTGAAACCCATCACTATTAACGATTAAATTTTGAAATCACTTCAGCCTATTAATATGGTTTCTAATCCTTATAAATACCTTAAATTTTAATGTAATATTTGTATTTGATACTTTATTGTATTTCACTCTAGGTGGGGATAAAGTTATAATCTGTTTAAATTTAAATATCTACTGTACATAAGGTTATGTGCATTTCAGAAATCGCTTTCTAGTATGGTAGTGTTATTAATATCTTTACATTAGAACAATGTTTAATAGTGCAGTTTCATTAAGCTCCCAAAAAAGTTATGAAGTGGCTTCTCTTCATAAACGTTGCATAGGCATCCCTCCCTAACAATTAGCAATGACATTGATACTGTGAAACTTACATCTGTTGATTATGAGCTTACTTCTTGTTTGAGAAAACTACTGATGCATGCACATTACAAACTACAATTCTGAACGTGCTGAATATTTACGAGTATTTTCCTATTTCATAGGAGTTTGTAGTCAGTTTGTAGTCCAACTATGATTTGTTTTTCAGTAGAATAAACAAGAAATGTTGCTCTAAAGTATTAGAACTTCTAAAACACAAGTTGCCTCTCTTAACGTTATTTCTTGTTTAGTATTTCAGAGCTCCTGTCAAAACACCATTGCTGATAGCAGAAGATGCTTATTTCCAGAAGTGTGATCTTAACATCAAAAACTGCATTAAATGCTTCAATACTATTGAAGCAGACAATTCATAGGATTGAACAACTTCCCGATTGAGTTTCTTTTTGTTCAATGTTACATTATACTGTATATAGGAAATAAAGAGTAATAATACTGTTTGTGCCGTTTTGTTTAATATTGTAAAATAAACTTTTGTTACTTCTATTATTTTGAGGATCTTGGCAGTCAAATGGAAGCTTTAAAAAATGCACAAAAACCTACCGAAACATCACTTATATTATAAACGTAATTTTGTCAGTAGTATTTTAGTTTAACAACCTTACCTGAAAGGCAATTGCTTTACAAGCATCGCATCGCAGATAGTCAGGCATATGGCCGGAATTTTTATCTTCTGCTGTAAGTTCTGGAGACGTAAAGCTGATAGTTTGTTCAGAAGACGTCTGCTCTTTTAATTCTGCGTGCTTTTCGACTTCGTCTATGCTAGCTGTCACTAGAGAACAAACACTTGCCATTAGTATTAAACTAATTGTTGTAGAATGATACATTGTAGCTTTACAAGTGAAATGCTTAAGGAAGTAAGGGTGGATTTTCTGGGGAAGTTTGAACAGAACAAGCAATAAACAACGACCAATAGGACTTTGAAACGTATCTGTAAGGAAGTTTTATAGCCCTGCTACCTAAAACTCTTTGACCTTGAAATTAACAACTCAGTTCAAACGTATTGCTGCGTTTCACAAACCGCTCTATCTGAAGTGAAAACAAAATTACATTTTTTTTACATAAATTCAAAACACCAGGAGCTACAAATGTGCATTAGATACAGCTAATTGATTAATCAGGGATTCTAATGCTCGTTTGTTTATTGATGTTTGAAGTGAACGTATAAGAATAATGTATAATAAGAGTTTACTAAACCCGACAAAATACAATTTTTTAACAACGGAAGTCACCCATTAAAGTCTATCAAGAACTATGTAGAGATTAAAATGACAATTTCTGTACCATATCTTTTTCGTCATTAGTTCACGAAGCACTAAAACCAACATTCGAAAAATTATCCTTTACAGACAAAATTGTGAATCAGGGTTTCAGGTATTTTATTAAATGGCGTACAGTATATGAGGATGAATGCCGTTGGTATTGATTGGTCTCCTACAGTACTGTATATCCCTGGTCTAGGTCTGGAGATATGTTAATTGATTAGAGTTGTTGTAAGGTTCAAATGTTGGGCTGTTTATGATGATTAATACATTTGAAATAATGTCCTGTATCGATATATTATTTTAAAAAATGACTTTGTTGAATATTTACATTCAAAAACAACAAAAGCTATGGTAAAATGAACCCAGCTTATTTGTTATTACTTCTTTAGACATACCATTGTTATTAAAAGTAAATATTTTTAAGAAGTTAGTCTATTAATAAATTAACTGCATTAACAAGAAATCGGTGGTCACCACAAAAACTTTAAACTTACTTTAAACCACCGAACATCTGTTAAAATATGTCCTACTTTGACAAATTTTAGAGGAAAGGGGTTAGGAGCTTTGATGACTACTTGAAAATCAAAGTAGGCAATTAGCTACTGTCTTAGTCACCTGCGGCATAGTCTCCCACACCATCCCAAACCATTTTTTCAATGGTTTGTTAATGATGGTATTCATGGTATTCAACCTGGCTTCAGGCAAAGAGTACTCTCGTGTGCAACATTGAAGTCACAGCTGAATCAGTAAGAGTTCTGTACATACTTAATCAGTAAGAAAGAGATGTTATTGACCCATATCGATCTGCCAAAGTTTAGACAGTGAATAATACTGTTCCAGAATGGTTTAAGAATCTCTGTCCCCTTCTAATCTCACCCCTTTAATAATGAGGATGTGTAGGTCTGGCAGTTGTTTTTTTGTCCGTACCTGTACTTGTACATTATTTGGTAAAGAGAATAATCATCACTCATATAAATACTAAATTTAGGTTTTCTACAGATTTTCTTCCATATATTTATGTCATAGTTTAATTACATGCTGGATCAATTAAGATATGTAATTTACTTGATCAAATGTATTATCAATTTTAGTTCTCACTTTATTGGAGACTAGAAACATCTACTACAATCATACTTCTGATTAGAAGAGGTCAAGGAAACAAAATGTGTTGATTTCTAAACCTGATGTTATTTCAGGAACTTGATGTGTTGCTCTATATTTTGTAAGTGCCTGGGTTCCTTCCAATAAACTATTGGTGAGATTAACCATGTTTTTACAAATTGGATACAAAACACAAGCAGTAAGTGTAACAGTCAAATCCAATCAAATAGATTACACCATGGTCTATAAAAAGATGTTGTAGGTTTTCATTAAAATTAATTCTGTCCATTTAAAGATCATGGTTAAAAAGTTCACATAGGACTTTTATTATACAGCCCTGTCATATTATCATAAGCTTTGCTTAAAGCTAAGAAATTGTGCAGTTTTGCCAAAAACTGTTTAAACCTGTAATACAGTATACATAACAGCCTCTGCATTCATTGGATTCTGTTTTTTCCACACAAACACTCAGATATATTCCTTTTATTGTTCTGAGTTTTTCTTACAGTTTTGAATTTTGAATAAAGAAAGGTAAGGTTCTTTTAAGTGTATTTAAATCTTTATTGTGACTTCATTATTAGTTATGCTCTTTTAAATCAGCAGGGCCAGTGAATGAAAGCAGAAAAAAATCCTTCATGGAAGAACTTTAACAAATCCTTTTTTTTACATCAGTCCCCTTTTTGTATACTTTGAACATCAATGATCTTTTCATGACAAGGAATCTCTCTCACATTATGCTGTGCTTTGCACTAAACAGAATTCTGGAGTTCAAAAGCACTTCCTGACACAATGTGAAGGACAAAGTCCATTGTTAGTTGTTGAAACATACAGGACACAAACATAATTCGTAAATGGAAACCATGACTAGAATTCATGTTGGTAATGAGTGGTAACTCAAACTGTTTTGTTCTTATTGTACTCAACAGGCAACTTTATTTCTCTAGCTTTTATCTATTTGAGAGCCTATTGCATGGTTTGCTTTTCTATAGTCGAAAAGATAAAATATTCACTATATCTTGAAAGGGTGTACTATTTTAAAATCAATAAGTAATTTAATGGTCATACTGAGAGTCATCGGTGAAGTGTAATGTTGGGGGTGTCGGCTTGTGTTTGCCTGTGTTCTAGTCTCAGTTTCATTTTCCAAATAAAAACCGAAACCAGTGCTCCACAGGATGCAGCTTTGAGCAATCTAGTTTCAGTTACAGAGATTAGGAAACCTAGGCATGAACAAATTTACAGAAATAATGACAGGACAACATGCATAAAGTAGTTCTGAATCCATTCGTAATAATCACAAAATAAATTCCAGTAGATACAAATAAGGAAATGACTAAGTAATCAGATCTGCTGAGCATCTATTTTACAGTATACACTGTACATAATGATTAAGAAAGATCAATTGTGTTGTAGTTTTTCTTGTCTTCAGAATTTCTGAAATGATGAACTATTAATGTGTACATTGTGTTAAAAAGATATTGAAAGTGAATTTTTATATTGCATATTCCCTGCTGTTATTCCCACCGTAGTTACAAAAGAACACCAATGAAGTTGCCCTGGAGTATGGTTACATAAATGAGCCCTTGATACATGTAATCATTTTCTTTACTGAGACTTTCTGAAATTCCTTTGAAGAGAGGAACAAATTAGATGCAGAGTTATAGCGCATTTCAACATGTTGAACATATTATACAGTATGTATGAATCATAGTCCATAGGGGAGATATTTGCTTTAAAGCAGAATAATTCTGCTGGGAGTGCTCTCTTGGCTTTCTTTTTTTCTTTTCGCATTCATATTAAGGTAATTCAAGGATGTCTTGTCCCAGATGAGTTAAAAATAAAATGTAAAATGTTCTTATGGTCTTCAGTATTTATAAAAAAGTTAATAATTTCTGTATTCAGCAAATGTTTTCATTAAGTATAAATTCGATGTTCATGCCAAAATCTAAATTTCTGTTATGTATTCTGCATGTTGAGAAGAATATTCTTCATTTAAGTCAATCAGTTAAACAATTTATACTTTCTTGCACAACATGTCTTTGCTCAGTATTTTGTCTGTCATGTTCAAGCACATGAAACTACTGTATAAGAAAGATTTAAAACAAGGAGACTATTTGAGGTACTGTGTTTGTTTGCTAATAAGTACTGTACCTTGCAAAAGGATTCATGCCCATCCTAAGGTGTCCCATTTTGTGAAATTAAATTGATTCGCGCACAATTTTAAATTAGTATTTTATTCAAAACTTGAGTGCTCAGACTGAATACCTCTAAGGGTAAGTTACAGTAAATGCCAATAATACTCTACCCTTTTTCTAAACACTTCTTCCAAGTCAGGGTTGCCAGCGCCTATCTCAAGGTGGGATATACCCTGGAAAGAACACCCATCCATCAAACTCACACTTTCCCAACTTTCCCAGAAGGCAATTAACCTACCAGTATGTTTTTGAATTGTACTGTAGAAGGAAACCACAACATGCAGAGGAAACCCACAAGAACAAGTGGAGAGCATATAAACTATTGAAATAGCAGTCGAGGTCTGGGATTGACCTGCTAACCATGCTAACCACTGTGCCACCCCCAATGAGAATTCAAGAACAAAAAAAATATTTATAATAATAATAATTGCTTACACTTATAAAGGACACTATATGGACACTCCACTCAAAGCGCTTTACAGGTAATGGGGACTCCCCTCCACTACCACCAATGTGCAGCATCCACCAGGATGATGCGACAGCAGCCATAGTGCGCCAGAACGCTCACCACACATCAGCTATCAGTGGGGAGGAGAGCAGAGTACTGAAGCCAATTCATAGATGGGGATTATTAAGAGGCCATGTTTGGTAAGGGCCAATGGGAAATTTGGCCAGGACACCAGGGTTAAACCCCTACTCTTTTCGAGAAGCGCCCTGGGATTTTTAATGACCACAGAGAGTCAGGACCTTGGTTTTATGTCTCATCCGAAGGACAGTGCCTGTTTACAGTATAGTGTCCCCATCACTATACTGGGGCATTAGGACCCACATGGACCATAGGGTGAGCGACCCCTGCTGGCCCCACTAATACCTCTTCCAGCAGCAACCTTAGTTTTTCCCAGGAGGTCTTCCATCCAAGGTACTAACCAGGCTCACACCTGCTTAGCTTCATTGGGTTGCCAGTTGTGAGTTGCAGAGTGATATGGCTGCTGGCATATGATGAATGCATAAATATTCAGACCAGTGAACTCAATATTTGGTGGCAGCAACTTAGGCAGCAATAACTGTACAGCTGCAGGTTGTTTTGGATAAGTCTCTGCCAACTTTGTACTGCACATGGACGTGTTACAATTTGTCACCATTAAAACTTGCTAAATCACTCTAACATTGCTTTGGGATTGTTTATGGATAGTAGTTTTCAAGGCTTTTTCACAGATTCTCAGTTAGATTCTCAGATTCTGGGCCACTCAAAATAACATACATTTTTGCAAACCACTCCAGGGTAGCAGTAGCCTTGTGCTTTGAATCAATGTCCTGCTGAAAGGTTAGTTTTTCTCCCAGTTTTATGTCTGAAACAGATTTTTTCTATGATTTGAAAGTACTTTTCCATATCGACAAATTTCCTAGTCTCTGCTCATGAGAACCTGCATTATAACATAATCCGGCCATGACCAT